TATAAAAATCTAGTACACTTAATATATAGATAAGTAGCTAAACAGATAAACAGTAATAAAGGAGAGATATCCACAACAATCCAGGTAACATAAGTAGCAGTTCTAAATTTTAGGCAGAATATAAATTTAACTTGCATCGAAGGAAGAAAACTTACATCAAAAGAAGCTTCTTTTAAGACATATAAGAAAGAACTTACATATTACAAATGCAATAACTGGTAAAAAGCTTCCACTCCTCCAGACAGTCGTTCGGTAGGGTTGGAAAATTACAATCATACATAAAAGCTTATTTTTACTAAAAAAAGATTAGTATGGTAATATATGTACCATCTGACAGACAACTTACATAAGAAAGTAAAAAGAGAAAGAAGAGAATTTTAGTGTAGAAGGAACAGAGAACAAAGCTTCAGAGTGAAGCTTTAAAGAGAGAACATAAGGAGTAACTGTATTTTTACAGAGAAAAAGGACTAGTATTTTTGCAGAGAAAGAGGAATAGTATTTTTGCAGAGAAAGAGGAATATGTTGATATTACCCGGAGTCTAGAGAACACAGAGAGTTGTCAGATGAGCAGAAAATGGTTGTGATCACCGAGGAGTATGGACGAGCATAAAACTTAGGGAAGAAAACAGATGAATAGAGCTTATGGCTTAGAGCAGATAGAATAAGAATAAAGCTTGAAGCTCAAAGAAGAGAGTAGAAGAGCGGAGCTTAGACCTCAGAGAAGAGAGTAGAAGAGCAGAGCTTAGAGCTCAGAGAAGAGAGTAGAAGAGCAGAGGTGCATTGAGAGAGAAGATACTCAGGGACTCACTCTGGATGCCTAACTTCTTCGCCTTCTTGCCTTTATGTAGGCCTCGGACGTGAAACGTCAATTAATTCGCCTTCATGATTGAGTGCCACGTTAAAAGTATGAACAACATTATGAGATGACTAAAAGGTCTAAAATTTGGAACGTGTGTACATAAAAAATAGATGAATCTTCGAAAAATATAAAAAAAAATATTTTGTATGAAAAATGACCAAAATACCCCTATAAAGATTTGGGGGTATTTTGGTTTTTTTTTTTTGCAGATTATTTTTTTAATATTTTTATTAGGTGCATCTTGATGAGAAAAATGCACAACAAAAATTTCAAGTGATTTGGATTTATAGAAAAAAAAATTAAAATTAAAACACGAAAATAGGTCGTGATCGTCAGATCGGCCCAAATTCAATCTGGGCCATTGACGTTTACGGTTAGCTAATAGGCATACTGAATCCACTCAATATAT